TCTTTCCCTTATTTAACATAGACTCTTATCTTAGCGTCCTATTTTGCTAATATTGTTACTTAAATTTAGGAATTTGATTTATATCACTAGTATGAATTTTTCTATTTTGTCTTTTATTTCCGTAAGTGATTCTCTTATTATAATTAAGGTGATTCTCTTATTATAATTAAGGTTGGCAGCTTATAAATACAAGCAACCCCTTTATTGTAGTCATGTTTAATTTTGAATAAGAATTTATTTCAGAAATGTTATTCTATTACTCATGGATTCAAGTATTTTACTCTTGCTCATGGATTCAAGCAAATCATAGAAAAAAGATAGTGATTCTTTTTCATTATTAGTCTTTCACTACGTCAATATCTATGAGATATAAAAACAAAAAATATTAAAAAGATAATATTTACATTTGAACAATCCATTGTTCAGATCCTTCGAGTTGTTGATTATAATGATAATATAGAAGTTGAGTTGTCTATTATTTAAATTCATACAAAAAAAATTATGAAATCAAGTCATACAATAGTATTTAATTAAAAAATCAGGAGTAAATAAGAATTTAAATTTAAAATATTTATATTTTTTCAAATCTTTGTTACTTTTTTTATTTAGCTTTAGCATAGAAAATCTCTAAATTCAATTCTAATAAAACAAATTAAAAATTCATACGGTTTGGAAAAAAAATGCTATAAAAAGTAAACAAATTATGATTTAAGCATTTTTATGGATATGGATATATTACTATCACTACTTAAACATAATATAAATAAACATAATTATAATCATAATGACTACGTCTTCATAAGGATAAGACTATGATAATATAATTAAATCATTAAATAATTAACATATGAATAGTCAAAATATTAAAATCGTGTATAGGAGATTCTAATTCTTTTCTTTTGAGACAATATTTTTTTAATTAAAGGAGACATTTAAGATAAGATTAAAGGAGTCATTTAATTTGATCAATCAATTTGATTTAGAAATCAAATCTTTTTTTTTCGAGAAAGGGAAGGAATAATTTTTAATTTTACCTTATTTTGTCATGTGAAGCTTGGTGGATAATAATAAATGTTAATTACTTTTATAATCGCAATCTTATCATTTTTTTTCCCGCTAACAAGGGGGCCAAAGCACAACAATTTGTAGGTGATTAAGGAACTAAAATGTTTATTATTAGCAAAACTACTAATTACCCACGAAAATCCTTTCAAATTAAAATAAAAAATTGTAATTAACTTATTATCCGACGTGCAGGTAAACCCTATAAATACACTTCTCCTGAAGGGCAATATTCTTGCAAGAGCTCTTCTTAGTGCTCTCCTTTCTCCTTTTTCTCTCCTTCAATAATTCTCTTACATATCCAGGAGATAGGCAATAACCATTAGGAGGAGAAGGGTCTTGGCTAGCTATAAAAGCACGCATGGACAGCCTTGAAGAGAAGGTTTCTGTGTTCTTTCATGAAGATTTTGCTGATGAGGAGTCTGGTCGCTCTATGGAGGAAGAAGACGACTACGAGTCTGACAACAACTTGCATGACCCCATGGAAAGATCCTTGTATTGGGAATCACAAGACGCCTTGCTTCAGGTATTTAATTTTAATTACAATAATTTAAAGCAAATTTTGCCATAATTCTAAAAGGGTAAGCAGTGCTTCATCTCAGCTCCTCTAGAAACGATATATTTCTCGTGCACGATGCTATTTTGTGTTTACTATTGCTTGTCTTTGCAAATGAAAGAGATTTCGACAATTAATCTCTTCATAATGATACAATTAGCTCTCCAAGATCATGATTAAGTGCTGATTTTTACATTTTGCGTTGGCTTGAGAATATAATATACAAATTATATTACCAAAGTTAATGAGCATTAATGGCACTAGTACTAAACATAAGATATTTTGTATAGAGCACAAGAGGAATATCCCTTTTTCTTCAACCCTATAAACATTTATGAACTGCGACCGACATTAATTCTTTATATCATTTTAGTCTATGTTTACTATTGCTAGTATTTGCAAATGAAAGAAATTTCGACAATTAATCTCTTCATAATGACACAATTAGCTCTCCAAGATCATGATTAAGTGCTGATTTTTACATTAAATTATATTACCAAAGTTAATGGGCATTAATGGCACTAGTACTAAGCATAAGATATTTTGTATAGAGCACAAGAGGAATACCCCTTTTTCTTCAACCCTATAAACATTTATGAATTGCGACCGACATTAATTCTTTATACATTTTAGATTTTTCAATATTGAATCCATCTACCATTTGTTTTTTTATATTTGGGTGTTTTAAAAGTATATTTAACTTAAAAATACATTAAATTTTTATTTTTTTGATATTTTTAATTATTTTAATATATTAATATAAAAAAAATTAAATGTTTTTTTTTAATTACTTGAAATCTTAATATAATATCTAAAACACAAGGAGTGATATAGTCAAATTAGATCTTCCTGTCCATGGAAAAAGTTTTTTTTTTTTTGGGGTGGAGAAAGCAGAAAACTAAAGTACACGTGTGTCAACTATTGAATGGCCGGTTTGGGTGACGTGCCCAATTTTTGGCATCATTTATGATAGCGGCAACCTGAATAGTAATAGCCACGTGTACTGTTGCAGTAGGGCGGTCAGGTGCCCCCATCAAATTGCAAGGGCTGGCGTGGTGAAAGTGGCATCCACCTCTTTAAAATCTTGGAGAAATAAGAAATATACATCAACTTTAAACCTTTGATGCGACTATACTTTGCTTACTTTATATTTTAATCGATTTTTAGAATTTTCTTTCTTAATTAAAAGTATGATTTCGTACTATTTTTTATAGCTTTTCTATTTCATGATCAAATTCGTTGGGTTAAAAATAAAGCTATTAAATTTAATTTGAATTGGATATTTTATTTATATTAATTTTAAATAATATTATTTTAAAATAAATTTTTAAAAATAAAATAATATTTTAAAACTTAATCAAACATTAATTTGGAATTTAACTAATTTAATATTATAATCGAGGTGGATTTAATAAAAAATAAAATTAGTTAAAAATTCAGGTAATTTAATAGATTGTTCTAACTGGATTAAAATTTAATTATAATTTATGAATTATTTATTTTTTTAATCAAAATAATTTTTTTTATTTTATAAAAAAATTAGGCTCGGCCAATCAAAATTAATGACTCGTATCTGTAGCTAAGTTTAAAAATTCTAGCTTTAACTAAATTATATATTAACTTATTAAGTTGATTAGATGATACTTAATCTACTGTCATTCAATTTAATATGAATCAAGGTTTAGAATAAAAGTTAGGGTATCGAATCACTGAGTTAATTTACTGGGTAAATCAAGTTTAATAATAATAATCTAAAAGCCTGGACAAGGAAAACTAGTTACCTCCATCATTGATTGGTATACCTTTATAATCCCTACTCAGATTTTTACAAATAAAAGTTGGAACAGCTACGAAACATACAATGTTAGAACCTAAAGCAAAACGATAAGTTGGATGGCTAGGATGTTCCATACGTCCAATAGAATTATATATATATATATATATATATATATATATGTTTAAAACTCAAGTTGAAAGGAAAATCAGTTTTAAAATTCATTTCCATACTTGCTAGTTATACGCATTAAGTTTTTAAATCAATCTTAATTGCCCTGGCTGGCTACAGCAATATCATGATAATCACTTAATAAAATATTTTTAATAGCTCGTTTTCTGTCCAGCACTTAATTATGAAGGAAAAAAAAACATTCGTGCCGTTGATTGCACTTTTGGACATTCAATCTAATGGCAGCATGTCTGCGTTTGGGCCACATTAAATTCCACAAAAAAAAAAGAAGCAAACTACTAATTTGGATTAAAATCCATAGTGTTGCTAGAATTTAATTCTTACATTGTTATTTGTAAAATAAATATATTTTTAATGTATCATTTCAATTTACTTCTGTCAACTACAATATAAAAAACGACAATTAATAAAAATATGATATCTATTGAATACTTCATAATTGGAGGAGAAAATTCACAAATTAAGACTTGATGATCTATAAGATCAGTGAGGTATCTTGATTCATCATCTATCATAGACCAAAGAATCTAATATTGAAAATTTTATAATATAACAAATAATTATATCAATATCCAGAAAGATGTATTCCCTTTTATCCTTGTATTTTCTGTTTCGAGACAGTAATTAAATGTTGAAAAATCAGAAATTAAAGCCATCTTTAGCATTATAAGATCCTATTTACTGCATGGATAAATTAGGTATTAGGCATTAGACCAGGAAACAAAATTATACTTTTTTTTTCTGGAACTATAATGGGATTAATTCTATGAAGGGAGTTTTGGAGCGCTATAGCTCTATCGGCTCAAAGTTACGGCAAGAGGTTAGCAGAGTTATAGGGGTAGCAAAAGAGAGTGATTGTTGCAATTGCATGAAGCCCACTGATGGCTGCACTAACTGTTTAAGACAGAGGGTTGTCAATTTGCTCACCCAAAATGGATTCGAAGCATCTCTTTGCACATCGAAGTGGAAAAACACCAGAAAGCATCCAGGAGGTAACAGTTCTATCCTTCTCTCGCTAAATGCATGCTAGCATTTTGTGGTATGATTGTTCTTGTTGATCTAGACTGATTTGACGGCGCCCTTGATTTTCCAGGAAAACATGAGTACGTAGAGATAATTGCAGGCACAATGGGACGCAAGAAGCCAATCCCATATCTGATTGAGCTTGAATTCAGAGACCAGTTTGAGATTGCCAAAGCAAGTGATGAATACCGCAATCTTGTGGCATTACTGCCAGAATACTACGTGGGGAAAGCTGACTACCTCAATGCCATTGTTGGCATTCTATGTGATGCAGCAAAGAGATCAATGAAGGAGAAGAAAATCCATATGGGACCATGGAGAAAGAGGAGCTTCATGCAGATGAAATGGTCAAATTGTTCTGAAAGACGATCTGTTGACAAGCCTTCAGGCAAATCTTTTTCCTCCTCCAGACAAGCACATGAATCCTGCTTGCAATTGTCTGCTGCTCCAGCTTTGACTGTCACTTAGTCATAGAAAGTGAACCCATTTTCCTCTCGTTAGAAATCTTTTTTGACCTCTACGAGTGTATAATGCCCACCTATGTAGGATTATTATGTGAGAAGTGTTTTTAGTTGTATAATTTTGCGGCTATGGCTGAGATGCTTAACCTAGGCAGACCCCAGTGCCAAGCTCTCTACAAGGGATGTGCTAATACTATGTTTATATCAGAAATGTATAGCGTTCAAGTTTGAATGTATTATCAGAAAAGTCCAGTGTCTGCTGCTCTTCCCCCACCTGGTCACTGCCCCTGATTTCCCTGAAATTATGAAGCAAATTCCATGTAGATTCATGCACTCGAGTGCTAATGCAAGGAAGCCAATCATATTACATACAATATTTGCGTACAAAATTTGTGAGGTCTCAGGACATTGCTACTATGGCACAAATATTTGGAAATTAGTATGTGAATGACTAGAAATTCTTTCATGTAATTTCTGGCCATTATCTCCAGACACATGCAAACCCTTGTTTGACTTTCACTCATGCTTTGAAGCCCTGGAATGATGATGAAAGAATCCTGAATAGCCCGTCCGGGTTATCGGCATGTACCTGTCAAGAATTTGGAGCAATGTGAGCTGCTCTGGAAAGAAATTAATAATGCAGCATTGAAATGCATTCCTACTCAAGCCAGGCTATCTTCGCCATGGCACTAACATTAAAAACACTAGGAATTTTCTACCTCCCCCCCAACAACACAAACCTGCCTAGATATTAACATGGGACTAGTTTCTGACAACAGTGAAAAAAATGACACCAGGGCAACATATACATTTTGTACAGCTTAAAGCCTTAAGCTCAGTAAGCTGGCAAATTAAATGGGCAAAATTTCAGAATATTCTGAAATCAGCCAACTTTTTTTATTTTGCAAAGCAAGGTTTTCTGGGTCTAGCCACTGAATGAGTCTTCTGCTTGCGCGTTATCCTCAGACAATTGAGGATAAGCTTCAAAAAATCATGCTTATTTTTCCATGTACTTTAATTAGAACATGGACAGAGGCGAGTAATTTGAAAATAATAATGTCAGAACTAGGGATATTAAAGCATGCAGAAGAAAAATACCCAGTGGCCAGCATCTTCAAGGACATGCATTTCAACTCCAGCTCCCTCCTCAGCAGCCAGATCTTCAGCAGCATGAATTCTCTGGAGATCTTCAAGGGCCCACCGGTGCAAGCTTCTCTCTGCTTTCAAAAAATTTACATGCACACCTTGAGGCAAATTTTCAACAAATTTCCTGCAGTCAACAACATGGATTGAGTAAGGAAGCAATGCTCTGATCAAAGGAGAGCAAGGTACTGTTTTTAACTCGCATTAACCATATTTCAAGATTACCACAAATTTGTTTCTTCGTACGATTGGTACATTTCAGAAATTCCATCGAGGTCAAACATCCAGGAGAAACTTGATGATGGCAAACCAGGAGGGCCATTTGTTTTAAGATTAGTCACCACCCACTGGACATAAAAATCAGAAAGTCAATTAATGCCAAGAACTTGAGGGGATCACAATTAGCATCTTTATAGAAAAACATAATTGAAGTACAGGAAACAAACTAAATAGAAGTTGGCTTAATTACTCGGTAATCTCAGTTACAATCCTAAAGTTGCACCAAACATGAAGTAAGCAATATATTGATTTCTCTAGCAGCTAATTTGCTTTATGAGAGCATGTAGTTGCTGGGAGCTCTAGATGCTATTGCCTAGACGTGGTTTCCCTCCTTTCCTCCATATTCAGATTGAAACTCCAGAAAGATATTGTCTGAATTCAGCAGTCAAACAGCTACTCATAATAATATATTTCAAACCGTCTTTTCCATTCTGAATCAGATCTGCACCATGTATCCTATATCATGCTACATGTATACTACTCTCTTCTTATCTTTCTAATTATCTTCCACCAAAATAACATCTAATTCCACACAAACTTTTGTTTTTCAGGGCAGAACAAGTTAATGAAGAGTCTAAGGAAAAGAATTTGTCACTGTCATTTTATTAATATTAAATCTATGGGGGCAAAAAATAATGTTTGCCATTGTACCTCCATGAAACGTCTGTAAAGACTGTCCATATAATTAGCAGGAAAGTAATCAAGCTAGGAGCAGAAATGATGTAGAAAAAGATGAAAACCTTTAACATCTCTATATACAATATACCTCAAATTGCAAACATCACATTTTATTGCTAATGATAATGAAGATTCTCACATAGATTACAATAGCAACAGCAATTTTTTTCATGCAGAAACCAAACAACAATAGAAGTATCATAAATAAGCATTTGGAATTCAGATTATACCTGTGCAACATCCTTAGAAAACCCTTCTTGTATAAGAGCATTGATAATATCTCGCTTTGAGAAGACCTTCCTTGAAGAAAGATTATAAGATACTCATAATAATGCCCCCAAAAAAAAAAACAAAGAAGAAAACAGACATCCAAACAAAGAGAAGACCCAAATACTGTATATTTGGTGGTAGTTACAGGTACACAAAAAAAAAAAAAAAGGAAAAAAAGAAGAAGTCAAAACAGACATCAAAAGAATAGAGTAGATATAATCACTCAAGATAATGGTAGGAAAGATAAGGGTGACAGACAATGCTTGGATGCTGAGTTAAAGAATTCAACACTAAATAGAAGTGCATTGGTGTTTAAAGAAAAATCACTTGCTTGGATGCCGAGTTGGAAATCCAACTCTAAAAAGAAGAGCATCTGTGTTTGAAACAAATCACTACCCCACCAAGATAAAAACAGCATCACTATCATATCAAAAAGGTCTATGATACACCCAAATATGGGTGTTATAACTTATGAAACATACCTCCTTTGGTAGTTTCCTTATAAAAGATATTAGTTCTGCAGGATGGTCCTCTCCATCTCCACCAGCCCTAACTTTTCCAGGAGTAGCATCTAGAGACCAAACCTGGAACGGCGCAAAGACTATAAGAATTTAAAGAGATAAAGCAAAATGAAATGACAAAGACCAACCATAGAAAATTAATTAAGGACCCTGTTATTATACATAGAGAAAATGGATTACTTGCTACAAAACGTGGACTAACATCTGAAAACTGGTATTTTAAACCAATCTTATGTTCTAAACCATCTAAAGAACATTTGCAGATTATAAACTTACTCTTACAGATTGGGCAAGAGGTTTTGCAGCTTGTTCCACCATACTCAAGGCAACTGCATGGACAAATAGGGAGAATGTTTATGCATTGAAGTCAATTAAAATATCAGATTGGTAAATTGCATGTCAAGGAAAGTAGATGTACCTTTTCCACCAAAGCTGTGCCCAATTAAAACACGAGGTGTTATTCTAAGCTGTGCAACCTATTCAAACAAAGTCACTAACATTTAATTAGCCATAAAAATATTCTCAAGTGCTAGTTGGGAGGCTTATTCTGGTTAGGAAGGAGGCATCAACAAAAGAAGAGCTGCAACAATTTTAAGAAGCATAAACAGCTGGAGCACATTAACAGATGCATCAGCCATGCACAAAGAACCCACCATCTTGGACTCTTGGAGCTATCTCAGTTTTAAAGAAATGAAAAATAGAAGAACAAATTGTCCATGAATAAATAGCCACAGCTTAAAAGTCACTCACTAGCTTTAAGACATCAAAAGCAGTTGAGGCAACAGTGTGGGCCCCCCTCTTTTTGATAGATGCTGAATCACCGTGGCACCGCAGGTCAACCAAAAGAAACTGCATAGTTTGTCAATGATAAGTAATATTCTAATCACCCTCAAGTCCATGCCAAAACTGACTCATTTGAACGCCTTAAACCCTAAGTAATGTACTTCATGCATAATTGTTGAAGTTCATGATTATATACAAGTTCTCCCCCCAATAACCCACTACAGTTGGATCATAACGGGACAGTGATTGTTTTCTCTTGCTTCCATAATCCTCAGGCATGCATGTAGAACAGGGACAAAGAAATCTCACAAAGTATTGGCAGACACTCGCGCAATAGTCCTTTAAAAGTACATGAGCATTATTTGACAGCATTAAAAGCTCACATGAAGATGTTAAAATGCAATTGCTATGTTGGCGCCATTTTCACAATGGAACCTATGCTCACATGCAGACCATGAAATCTAATTGCTTCATATGGTTGGAACATAGGGGGATTGGTTGCTATATCTTACTTTTGTAATCCTCTGTCATACTGATACAAATATCACAGGGAATTATGGAACCAAGCTAGCTTGACCTAGCACCTTTTTTGGGGTTATAGAGAATATAAAAGATACAAAAGGGGAAAAAAAAAAGAACAGTACCTGCCATGCTGGAAATTCTTGTGCCAATCTCCGTGTAAAGGTTCCTGTGATATTTTAAATCTGTAAACTATATTTCAAAAAGTTCCTATTAATTTGTGTATGTAAAAGCATACAAAAAGCAACTAATCAAAAGATGTTATAAATTAATGCATGAAGTTCTGCAGCAGAAGGTAATGAGACCACTTCACTGAGGTGATGGCACTTTGAAAACAAAATCATCAGAAAAGGAACACTTCACATTTCATAATTTCATAGAAAGTGTGTGATTTCTTGTTTTTTGTTTTGTGTAGGATATATTCTAAATTTGATGGTTGAGACATACTAGATTGCTTAGGTTATCAATGCCTCAGCATAAGACAACTTTAAACACATCACAGTTGGAAACTATACTACAAGGGGGAAAAAAAACAGAATGGATAACAACTTAGGTTTTCTAGGATTTTCAAAGGGTGTTTATTTTGGGAGTCTAAGTTAGTCCCCTGGCTCATCTCCATTAGATAGTCTCCCGTTAGAAATCCTAGTTCTAGAAGGAGATATGGTATCCCAACTTGCAATGGACAAGGGTTAAACATCAACATGGTGCAAGTATATAACTGTCGTGAAAATTATATTTTCTAACAAATAATCAAGGCAAACATAGAAAAGCATAAAGGAGTTGAAACTAATACGCAGTACTTACCCCAGTTCTTCCTGCTGCCTAAAATTCCATGCAGAAGCACAGCTGTTGGTGGATCCGGCCTTGATTTACCCATCACAGAACCCCATTTTACCTACGCAGCAAATCATTCAGCATAAGCAATTCTGCCCATGAAAAAATGTATACACCCACTCCGCTGACCTCAGCTCAGCTCAACTCTATTTCATCCTCCAAATGTAATATGAAAAGATAGCACATCAATCATAAACCTAAATTGCCGTACA